CTCAAACATTGCAGCGCAGCTATACGGACTCGCTATAAGTTCAAGTTGAACAAAAAATTAGTTCGAAATTGATCATCCTTCTGCTTTATCAATTCAAGAAAAATATATCAAAATACCATAGTATTTCCATGATCAGGTTTTGTCAATGATAATAATAATGGTATTAAAGAAGATACATGTTCGGATATTATATGTGAAGCATTCACAGATATAATATAAAATGTATCAATAGTTGATGCTTTAAGTTCAGCATCAGGTAATGATAGTGAATGTATAAGTAGAGGAAATAACTTAAAAAAGAAATTGACGAAAATTTTATTATTTAGAGATGACAAGGATGAAACAAAATCCATATGATAAACCAGAGACTCACCGGTGGCAATTCACTCAATAACACTTGTTTAGGAACATTTCTCAATAAGTATGATAAAGCAATTAAATAATTGTGTTTATCTTCTGCATTTAGAAACAGAGTTAAATAATAATAGCGCCATTAAAATACAAAAGTAAATTATGCTTACTATCGCTGGCAACTTTGAAACCTTCAACTAATTTTGGCATACAATAATTAAAGAATTTCTGCTTATATAGAATCTATTGCACAGTTGAACAAAAATTTGATAATTTGTAACATTAACACGAACCCAATTCTAATTTTATAATATAAATAAGTGACTTATGAGATACTTACCCTTATAACAGCGAAACTTTGTTTATTTAACATATCACTTTCTCCAGTTAAAATCTCAAATCCTTCTAAGGCATGTTTCTCTAATATTGGATCACAAAATTGACTAGTTATTTGACTGGCGCATTCATAACTCAATGGATGAGCGCGCAATATTAATGCTTTTGTAAGCTAATATAAATATAGATCTTTACAATTAATTGAAAAAGAAAAGTTCATTTATTACACGAGATTTACCAATGACTTACCCAAACGAATATATATAATGAAGCTCGTCTTATATTTTCACTTTCTGTACTGAAAGACGTGAAATGATTCTTTAATTCTCCAAGAACTTTTGTTTCAACGAATTTATTCAATTCATTTTCTATATAAAACCAAATAAAATAAAATAAAATAAATAAATATGATGTGATACCAAATCTTTCCATAATTAAATTAAGACTGACCTTGGTTCCATTTATTTAGAATTGAAGCAGCTAATTGAGCTAAGGAATGTTGTTGAAGTTTATTATTCGTATTCAAAGAAACTCCAATAAGACCTGATAAAAATGCCGAAATATTTGATAACGGAAATGAAACCTTTAAATGGAACAATATTAATTTTAGTGATGCAATCACATACAAAGCCAATATTTATTATTGTGATGATATACTTCTTTCCGGCAAAACCCAACAGCTGCAGTAAATAACAATGTCAAATTTTGTTGTTTAAAATCTGATTCTATCTAAGAAAAATATAATTTATATCAATGACTTTGTAAGTGCAAGAAAAAACATTTGTTAAATGAGCTTACAGAAAGTGGATTGAAAGTTGTATCAAGTGATGTTTTATCCAGATCCGGAAATTCAAGGTATCTTGAATTTAAGTTGCCTTTCGTAAAAATTTCAATTATATGAGAGATAAACATTGATTGTTCACTACAAATAAGCGAAAATTTTTAACGAAATCACCAACAAAAGATTCCCGAGGAAGAAAATTACAAATATCTCATACCTAACATTTAAGTTCCTCGTAATGACACTTATGATTCCAGCAACAACTTTAATAATTTTTTCCTCATAAAATACACTTTTCATTAAATTATTTACTTCGGCTTTACCGTGCAAACTTGGCATAATAGATTTAGTCAATAATTGAGGAACGAGGGAATTCACATAACGTGAAATATCAGAATGATTTAATGAAGTTTTCTTTAAAAGTAAAGTATGAAGAGAGTGTAATAATGATTCTGAATATTCAATTTCAGCGATTGCTATAATGAATCGTAAAAAAGAAGATAAAAATAAAAAAGAAAATTCGTTCAAACAGCTTACTAGGTTCTTATTAAAAGTAAAAAAAAAAAAATTAAGAAGGTAACTTACAAGACGCAAAATCCAATTTCTTTAAAACTTGTGGAACATATGCTTCAAATAGTATAGGTTCAACAGCAAATTCGGATAAAGCGTCTAAAAACTTTAGATAATTGACTTTCATTCCAGATATATTATCGTTATTCAATTCATCTTCATTACAAGGTAGTTTATCCAAAAAAACTGGAAGTGTAACTTCCAATACGATTTGTGATTTATATTTAGCTATATTAGTTAAAGATTTTAATGCTTCATCTCTAATAAAATCGGATCGTATTAGTTAATCTTGTAGAGTAGAGGAGTATTTCTTTTTTTATTTATTTTTTAACTTACGCAATTTCTCGATCAGTTTCTTCCAAGATTGTTCGATTAAAATACTGCAAAATAACACCAATTTCGTTATCTTCAAAAAATTGACGTAAAAATATCATATCGTGTAATCCACGTAATCCACACAGCCTTAATTCATTATATTCGTTTTGATTATATAAAGCCGAACTGAATATTTCCAAATAATCATTTTTATATGGTAACAACAGTGTAACAAAATCACCATCTTTGAAAAGAAAACAAAGTCAATTAGCCAAAATTTTTTTGTTACATAAAAACAAAAAGGAAAGCAAGCGTACCTAGATTTTGTGACGATTTGTCGATTGACCCATATAGATTTTGGCTTGCTGTTATATATACTCTTAACACTTCCAATAAACTCTTCTTTCTAGTTGCCAGATCACTTTCTTTATATTGTTGTATTAAGACTCTCGCAGTAGCCGAAATTATAATATTAAAAGACAGATCTATTAAGGGAAAAAAATATATTTTTTACACGGTTCACATACTTCCTTCTAAAATTCATTTAATTACTTTACCTGAAGCCATAGCGCAATACATTAAAATTCTTCCACAAGGTTTGGCCAATTTCAATTCCGGCTCTTTTAGATTTTCCATACATTCAGTTACGATAGTCTTTAAAAATTGTTGTAAATGATCTATTATTCCCAAGGATAATGTAGCTATAATGCTTTTAATTGCTTCCAATGCTATATTTTCAACTGAATCATCTGTAGCATTAATTATCTAAATACAAAACATTACAAAGGAAAATAAGGTTAACAGCTTGGAAAGAAATTTTAAAATTAGTAACGAAAAGAAGATCAATTAACTTCATCTCTAAGATATTCCCATAAATCTTCCAAGTATGGTACGATTGAATCTGGTCCATACACCGGAACACATTCTGTTAAAGTCTCAATGGAATCTTTCTTTGCATGACCCGAACTTGATGTTAATTTTTCTAACAATAATGGCATTGCCAATTTAGAAAAATGTGATGTTGCCGATAAACATTCTCTACAATAATTATATATTATTAATGAAATATAAAAGGTTCATGAAATAAACTTGATCAGAAATATCCTATACCTAAGAGCAATTTTCAAGTCATCAGCTGTTATACCATATGGATCATCGGGCGGCGGTTTAAATGTAATTGGAAAGTAACAAAATGTCACCTCAAATAACCTCTATAATAAATACATTTTTTTAAAAAAATATATTCAATTTTAATATTAAAAGAATTATTAAACAAATTACCTCAACATTCTGAGAAATATCAAATTCATGTATAATTAATTTAACTAAGGAGAATGCTAATAATAAATTTCTAGGATCTTTCTCTCCATCCATTGCTTGAATGAACCCATTAACAAAATCTTGTCCCATTTTCTTTAATGCTAATAAAATAATATATATTTAGTAGAATCATCTTAAATTAAAATTAAATTAGATAATGAGCATATTTACCATTTAAATGATTTTTTAGTAATCTGTCAAATATTTGAAATACATAATGTCTAGATGTTTGCTGAAATGATTGTACATTTACACTTGCAAATATTCTATTAAATAAAAGTTCAACAGTATATTAATAAAAAACCACATATTTTTTTCACATATAATTAGAAATATAAATACATACGAATTTGCGACCCTTGATGCATTTTCATGATGAAACGTAGTAAAACACGTAAGTGATGATATTCCTTGTAACAATTCAGGAACACTTGCTGTATCTGATAATCTTTCACAATAAAAATCTACCAGCACTCTTACTATAACGCATATTAAATAAGTTGTTTAAGAACTAATTTGAGAAATCTTATTACTAAAATGAAAATTTAATTATATTTACTTGTTGCATTGTTAACTTGTTCTTGCGGACAATCTGCAAGAACTGCTGATAAGAGTGCAGTCCCTATATTTTATATCAAAGAATTTGATTTATTGTCATATTTGTTTAACTTAAGCATAATAACATATCATCAAATTACCTCTAGCACGAATTGTAATATCTTCACTTGTCAAAAATTCACCAAGTACTTGAACAAGTGATATTAGATTTGATTGTCCACTTTTTATACCTAATTAAATCAATTATACGACAAATAATAAGAAAATTAAATCACATCAATGTTAATTCATAAGAATTCATGACATACTAGTTGCAATTTTAGAAACAATGGATTTTGATTCGGTCTCATCATTTGATGTAATCATATAATTCCTTACAAGCCGTTCCATTTTCAAATTATTTTCTTCAATTATTAAATTAATGAAAAAAATTTATTTTGAATTAAAAAGATGAAATAAAAATAAACAGATTATCATTTTTAACTTTTTCTGATATCTAGCATATAATTACGTAGATCGTTGATCAAAAAGGTTATGTTACGTAATATAATAGATTTTGCTATTTTAGTTAGCATTGAAATTAAAATTGATGATCGACATTAAATCGAAAACTCAAACACAATTTTTTTTTTAAAGAATATGGATATATTTTTTTCTTAACAATTTTAGAAAATTATCTTTTAAATCTAAATAATAATCTTATATAATAATACAATTCAATCTTTTCTAATCTAAATTTTAAATAAATATAAATATAGAAAAAGTTTAGCTATGTCTGATTGCTCAAGGGATCTGAAACTGCTGTATTGTTCTCTCTATGCTCAGAATTATTACAATTGACGTGTACAATATCATTGTTTGGTTGTCTCATAAAATCTGATCCACTGATATACTCTTTACATATTGAACATGATACATTTTGATTTATTACAATTGGTCCAATTGCTTGATATGCTTGATATAATTCAAAACTCGTCTATAAATAGAGGAAAATATTTAGTTGTACATATTGAAGTTTGAAATATTTATTAAGAATAAAAAGGAATTACCATGGTGTTCTCGCCACGACACAATCCTTTTAGAATTTGACCTTCCCTATACTCATGATAATTTTGCCTTAATGAACGAATCAAAAATTCGTTCAACATTTCAACTGACCAGAATTCCGGTAATAATTCCATAACCTGAATATTTCAGGAGAAAAAAGTCGATAAGTCGTTTCTACACAAATTTTCGTATGATATGAATGCTTACGAACCTCATTGGTATCCAAATACACCGCATGTGTATTCAATAAATTTATTATTTTTTCAATAATTTCGTTTCTAAATAAAAGAATGGAATAAAGTATTCTTATTAATAAAATAATAATAATAAATTGGTGCATGGTGAATAAATGTGTTATTTACCCATTTTGAAGATAAACTTTTAATAACATTAAAAATAAAGTACGTCTTGTAGAAATCAAATCCTTATCTTCAATAGATTTGTTATCCGATTGCTTCTTAGCTGATATGATACCGATCATTCGACCAGCATAGAGACAATAGAATTCGGCACCACGATAATCTCTTAAATCATCGACTAATATATGTAAAGCTTTCTCATGATCATCCAACTTTTAAATACAAAGGTTCGAAATTAATATAAAGTCACGGTTATAATAAGTTACAATAAATTAAATTTACCTTTCCATAAACGACAGCCAACTCAGCTTTTAATATTTGAATTTCAAGCAATTTATTCAAAATTAATTTTGCATTATATCGAGTAGAAGATTGTAAGAAAGTGATTAAGGTGGCTCTTCCTTGTGATAATAAATCTTCCTTTGATTGATTTAGCAAGAAAGATAAATACGTTTTCGCTGAATCGTTTGGGTTTTTTATAAATTCATTTGCTATTATCATAAAGGAATAATAGGTTTAATAATTTGCTTCATATTCAAATCAAATCATCTTAAAATACTTGCTCATTGTTTCAATCTTCACTTTCGCTTCATTCGATTGCAGTATTGTTTCTAATTCTTCTACGTATAAGAGTGCCAGTTCTGTATGATGCTGTTCTTCTTGACTTTTTCGCTGTATGACCAAATATTCCAAGTATAATTTAAGTCCGTTTTTACCAACCGTTCTTAATTGATCCAAGACCAAACTAGGTTCAATCAATAGAGATCGCCTTAAATTAGGTTGAATAAATATCTAAATAAATTAAAAGTATATCTCAGTCCGAGTTCACGTATAATTTTAATCCGGATAAATTCATACCTGGGCTCCAATGACTTCGTCATGTTTGGTAATCCAATTAGCATATTCTAATACCATATCATGATCATCCAACTTTCTAAGCAAATTTGCCATTTGTTTTAAACAATTAGGGCCATCCTTGTCTGGATGATCTTCTTCAAAAATTCTATATTTAAAATTTATAAATAAGCACGTCAAAATCATTTATCCCTTTTTAGTGATTAAAAAGTACTAACTTTTTCCATAATTCCAATGCTTTTTTGTATTCTTTATTGTCTTTATAAAGTAAAGCCAAAGGATAATATTTCTAATTAAATATAGATAAAGAGGGGATTTTATTAATAAAACCTATACTTTTATAACATATTTTTTAAACAGGTCTAATTAATTCTCACCTTGTTATCAAATAAAATTTTTTCACTAAGTTCCAACACACATTCATTAGAATTTTCTAATAAAGAATTTAATTGTTCGGAGTTAGATTCAGCGTATAACCTAAGTAAAGCGTTATCAACAGCCTACAAAATTTATTAAAAAAATTATTTTAGACTAATATACAAATAAATCTGCGAATTGATATTCACACCACCTTCGGTTTATATCTCTACCCTCAAAATATTTCTTTTATCTGGCTTCAAA